CACACACACACACCCTCACTCACGCACGCACGCACACACACACAAACACACACACACACTCACGCACACACGCACGCACGCACGCACACACACACACACTTTGAACATTGTGGTTATCATCTGACAAAAAAAGTTTATACTGTAACAAGAACTCCTTAATAAACCTATTTCTGAACAAAAAACGATTGGAACATTATTGGTTGCTGATTTATTTTCCTGACGAGAAAAAGTACTGTTACATCCGTTTGAAGATGTAAGTTTAGAAATCTCCCACAGGGCTAAAAAACTGGGACACAAATGTACGAGGCGAGAAATCATCAGAGAAACTTCTCTGCGCGTACCTCCAAGCCCAGGCCTGAGACGGTTGTCGTAGCCATCGAGGAGGCTGTCCAGAATCCTGGTGAAAACTGTGGTGTTGTCTTTCTGCTCATCTGCGCTTTGACTGGAGCTGACAATGCAAAACAGCAGACGTTTTATTCAAAACCCATAGCAAAGGGTGGCTATAACACACTCTGATGTGAAAAATCAATGCAACACCCTCCTTGGGGTAACTCTGAAACATCCAGCCTGCTTAAAGAGAATTTGCAATGCAATAGCCTGCAGATAAACAACAAATCTCCTTCTGTCTTAGGAGCAAAGGGGGTATACACAGGAACAATGCATTATTAATTAGCTAAAATACGCTTTTAGACGCAACTGCGAAGCATGAGTACTGGCAACACAAAGCCAAATCCTAAAAGACAAACCCATGAACTCTGTCGCTCATAAATATTTCAGACAATGCTTATGAGAAAAATGCAGTTTAATCATATAGTGCAAAATGGTACTTCACGAATAAGAGCTTGTGAGGATGGTGGCTAATTTGTGCTCCTCTAAAAACAATCACCGGCTGGTCGTTCATACATAATTGCTTGCTTTTTTTGGTAATCATTGGCATTATTTTCCCGCTAGCAGGTACCGGACCACAAATGCGACTGCAGACTCAATAAACACTGTTTGGTGTTTCAAAAATAAGCTTGGCATGGAAACAGATTTCAAGGAGAGGATGAGGTCATCGCGATTAGTTAGCATGAACGCATTTTCAAACAGAGAAAAGAGAGAGGGAGAGACGCGGCAGACCCCAAAAGAGAGAGAAATACAAGTTGTGTCCTGTGGTTTCGTATTATTGCCAGTAATTCCACTATAAATCTTCCCCTAAACCAACATGGACAACTATTGATTCAAAGCAGTTAAATAAAATTTAAGCTCAATTGTCAGATGATATATGCTCGCTGTCGCTTAGAAGAACAGCGCATGCTTTTTCTGCTCATTTCATGCACTCATTTCAATCAGTCTTAATGTCTCCCAGCAGAATTTCCTCTGTGGAGTCCAAAAGTCTGAGAGCACTTTAGTGATTTTCAACAAAATGCTTGACTATTTCTAGGTCACCAATGAACAAATTTCGATGTTGACCATTTTAACTCCTTTCTACAAAGGTCAGATTTCCTTGCTTTAATTGATACAAACATTTTCACATCATACTGATTTGTACAAACGTGCAGACTTGAGCGGTATGCTCTCAATTTTTGTTGCCATCAAATTCTGATTCGTTTTTATTTTCGTTCTACAATAAAAAAAAAAAAAAAGCAAAATAGAGGCATTTTCACAAGTGGTCTCTCACACCTTCGGACCTCACTGGATTCTGGCTCAAAATACAACGAGAGTAAAAATAAAACGAGAAGACTTCCACCCTCCCCCATCTGTGCAGAGAGACGCACATGCACACAGACCTCATGAGCGACACGGAAAAGGGGTCACGAGAGGAAAACGTAGTCTCATATATTATGCATGCATGCCAGTGCAACACTCACAGCATGCTGGTAATGTCAGCCTGACCCAAAATTACATCTCCTCTCTTACCTCTCACAAATGCACAATAATTCAGAGCTCAGGGCATTTTTATTTAGTAATAATTAACTCAAATATACATTTTGGCAGGTTTAGGAACCATACAGACATGAATAACACATTGCAAAATCCATGTGCTTATGAGCAGCATACAGATCCCCATTAAATATTGCACAGCAACCCCATCTGCAGGTCATCTGAACAGCAACAGTGTCGAATGCATGCTGTCCAGAGCCACGGTGCTCTCACAGCACAGCTTACAAATGACACCCTGTATGCCTATGGCGTTTTTAAAGTATTGTTATAAAATATTCATGGGTATTTCAACATTGCTGTGACGGTCACCTGTCTAAACGTATAAAATATGTCTAAAGCAACAAACATGTTGCATGGCATTTTGCAATTAGTATTTCACAACTATGCTTTTTGTAAAATAATTTAATATAATGCATGATACCCTGAACATCTTTATGTATTATTATAACTAATCATTTCAAAGTAAATCTGCTGCATGAACAGTACACATGAATCCAAGCTGCATTCATGAAAATATAAACTTATTAGCTAATATTACACTTCAGATTAAAACTTGAGACCTCTTTCAAGCCAAATCCTCCCAAAGAAATATTTATGTTTGTTTACAACCCTTTGCATTTGTTCTCACATTTAAAATAGTGCTTGGCTGCATATATATATATATATATATATATATATATATATAATGCAAAATAGAAAGATTGCTGTAAGAAAAAAGTTGATGTAATATTTCAATATTCTCAATTTCTATTCCCTCACGCACTCACCTATATATACTGTTCAGTGAAATAAATTAAGTTAGCCAGGAAGAAACTAATTCACTGATGTTGCTTATGGATTACAGACACATACGTTTTTTTCTTATGTATGTCAGCAAAATTCACCTATAAATGAATAGCACTCCACGAAGCAGTATAGCAGTAAAAGACTGCAGAATGAAAACCTTAATGAATGCTTCATTAGCATGACATCCTCTCTGAAGTCTGAGGTTCTGATCTTGGTCTAAGTTAACATTGTAGGTTTAGATCAAAGACTTACATTTAGATCAAAGTCCTCACATATTAAACTGAACATTACTGTAACTACAGCATAGAGAGTGCTCTTTATCAAAAGCAGAGAATGTGTTAATCATTCCAAGATGGGAGTGAAATATGCACCAACCTCAGGTGCGTAAACGTACCTTTTTCCAGCCAAAATGCTGGTCACCAGTAAACAGGCCCAAATCCAAAGCCAAGCTGCTCCTCTTCCACCCCACATCATTCTCCAAAGGATGAATCCCCACTAAAGAAGAAAAAAGAATACATTAATTCAAAGAAACCTTACTGGAGCGGAGGTATGTGGTTGTCAATACCCATTCCATAGCATTGTGCAATTTTCATTTGTAATATAATTAAAAATACGCTTGTAGACAGACATGCTCAAAAGAAGTAGGTCTTTAGAGTCAGCTCACACGCAACTACTATTTGTTATGTGATTTGTTGCTCCGCAATAGAGTAATGTGAGACACTGCATACAATGCATTTAATCATCTAAACACAAATCCTATGAAAGCACAGTACCCTATGCCAGTTTAACAAGTGCTGAACACATTGTTCATATTTCCCCTTTTTAACCTTCTAGATATAATTCAAAGCCTGAGCATATTTACTGGAGGAATACCGAGCTTTGATGTAGTCCTGACCCCTTTACAGCTTACATATAGTGTAGATTAATACTACAGCAGCAATTATATACCTGATCAGAATTAAGAGTAAACAAATATCACAGTTTTGCATGACACAGTACGACAGTCATTACGTATATGCCACAAGACCCACTATGCAAGTCCTCAATGTTTAATCGCACTTAACGATTTAAGTATATTAATACGTGCTCATATACATATAGGAATGTGCATCAGAGTTCTATACACATAAAAACACAGGGAGCTTGGTTGGCACTACGCATTAACGCAAATCATTCCACACGCGTTAATCCTGCATTATGATCATACAACATGATTTACAGCTCCATGTAAAAACCTTGATCATTCGCCGAAGCTCTCTCCGTGATGCCCACATCGCACGGGATATATTTGGGCAAAATTCCCCGACTTCCCAGGGATTATAATGCTTACACAATCCCTACCGTACACACTTTTGAGTTCTGTCGCGAGAGTGCATCGTCAAAAGCACGTCTTAAGGTATCTCACAATTAGTGTTGGGCGTGCGCCTCGGGGTTGCTCCTAAACGTGTAGTAATTCAATTGGAGTAATTAAGCAAACAGTGCGCACATCGCCAAGTTCACAGCAATCATGCGTACCACAAACATCATGCCGAGATAAAAGTACCTCATAATTTTAGGTTTCCAGGAATACGGCACTACCTTTATGCAGTTGTGATCCCTTAACCCCCGGTTTTACAATACCCAAGACACAAGCACTTACGTTAAATCGATTGCACCTTATCGTCAAACTTTTGAACACGTCTTTTCTGTCTGGATGCTCTGAGATGATGCTCTGAGATGTGAGCTGTGCTGAATTTGAGCTCGAGGCTGCTGCTGCTGCTGCTGCTGATGATGCTGCCAAGCGCGCAGCTCTCGCGCACTCCTCATCGAAACTCTTCCCAGTTTACAGCAAATTAGTCATCTACCAAGCCCAAATCCACAAGAATAAAGCTCTACTACAGCAGCACACTGGTGCTATGTCGTTTAAACGAGATCGCTTGAGTGCATGGCGATTGTGTTAGCGGTGGTACCAATCTCACATCGAAAGACCAATCCGTCCCATTTTTATACGCAGCACAATTTCACTTGCGCTGCTGTCGACTTAATCTCGTTCAGTGGTTGGGAAATCAAATCCGCTTACATTTTTTTTTTTGCCCGGATTTCGCCTCTTCCGTGCTCTCTTGCGTTGCGGTAGAACAATAATACACGGCGCGTCGTCTCCGTCACAATTAACATGCTATTAATTATTACACAAACATTGTTGAGCGCTGCCACGTTAAAGGCATGCCAGACATGCGTGCAACAATATGCATGCCAATCCGCAGTGCATGCACACGCACACAACCCAAATAAAGTAAAATGCATGCATCTCTCACCGAAAAATCCCGATGGCTCGAATCTTTCCCAAAATCACCTTCAAGCAGTCTCGTCTCACCGACTCACCCACCGCCTGGAATATCGCACAATACAATTTTTTGTTGTTAAAATCAAACGCTTAAGGAAGATCCGCAGTCCTTACAGCGCATCTGCAGAGGAGCTTTTCTGATCATTTGCGTACGAGGACACAAACTAAAAGCCGGAGGGTGTTTTAAACGTGACATTAACGAGGAAAATAGCGCAGCTTATTAGAGGCCACGTCGAGAGCATCGATCTCCGTCTGCTGGGTGTTAGAGAGCGATGCTGGGGCGATCTGAAACATTAGGACAGCTTTCATACAAACTCCACGGCGTCTTGACGTTTATGCGTCCGTGTGCATGCTTAACAAGAGATGACGACGAGTAGCCTAGTAGTTCCACTTTAACCTGACGCAATGCGAGCAACAGCTGCAACACAAATACTTTTAGTTCTTAAGTTTTAAAGAGCACGTTGATATGCGATGTCTTGGTCTCTCGAATTCACCGTGTTCCCATCCTGGAACTACCTGAGCAAAGAAAGTCGGATCTCGCGTATCACTGCACGTTTCGCACGTGACTGTGCAGACGGCGTCATGTGCATCAGGAAAGTTTTTTATTTGCACAGCGTACCCTTGATCTAATCAGCAACTCATAAATGATTCACATTCATAGGGTGGCATTAATTCTAATGCATGGTTCGTAGGCTATAAGTTTTCCCGTTTCTCTTCAGCACCACGGACAGCCACGAGACTGCAGACAGCTTTTAAAAGGTTTCTTACAGCAAACACGTGCACTGGAGGGTTGTGAACAGCGGTGGTCTTCTTGAAGACACAGACCCCCACACACGATGAAACCTTTGCATGATTAAGCATTATATTAGACATAACACAACATGATGTTTACAAAAATACAAACATAAATACATGCACAAATTTAATTACCGATCATAGTTGCATGCATATAATTTTCTGTGCAAGGTTAAACCTCTAAAATGTATTTAATAAGCGTAAAATACGTGGACGCAATTGTCCTGCTATTCTGTTAACAAAGTGAACTTAATGTATAGCCTACATTGAATGCACAATATATAAAATTTTCCGACAAATGCTCATTCTCTGTTTATTACAGTATATTTTAGTAATTTTGGACCGTAATTATCGCACTTCTCAATTTATTTAACAAAAAAATAAATAAAAAAAATGATGAATTGCAAAATGGTGGTCATGAGACTTTTACAAATGTATGCCAGTTCTTGTAATGTTCGTAAAATGTAGTCACATCCTTGCTCGTTTTTGTTTTCAGTACTTTGACTTTTTGCAACTATTTGTACTCAATATTGCTAAGAATAACTTTTGTTTGGATATGTTGAGATATAAATGAATGTTTTCATGCTGTGTGTTCACCATTCTTGAGTTAGAAGAATCATTGTACCTGATCTTTGACTGACTGTGTTACAGTCTTCCTCATTTACTTGGTCTTAACAGTTACACTGTCAAAGCCAATGCTTTCAAATACTTCTAATTAAAGTCTCACATATGCAAAGCAATGCACGCGTTCTAATGCATTCTGTTCTAATGCATGCGTGTACATTTTGTGCATCTGATCAAAATCAACACTTTTCTGCATATTTTAGCTTATTATATCCTTCCTACCAGCACCGGCAACCTTTGTCCTTTGACACAAAGAAGGCTGGGAAATGCTTAGTGCGTAGTATGCCAAGAAAATACGCCAACTGGCTTCATGTTTTGATAGTGTGCATTGGTGACGCTAACTGTTAGCTGTCAGGCTGTGCATCTACAGGGGAGCAGACAGTGAGCAGCTTATGTAACAGTGATTACAAGCCCGGCTTTAGTAAACCACTGCACACATTAATACTTATCAGGCCATCTGTTTTGCCTCTTGCTTTCTTTCCTTAACATTTAGCATTCTTATGCATGCATGACAGAGTTGTCAGTGTTTGTGTAACAGGTAAACTTAACAACTGACTTTAGGGCATAAAGTAAACTTTCTCAGAGATATATGAACACTTTTTTATCACTGTATAACAAAGTCTCAAGATGTTTCAGCTTGTTCAAGAGAAAAGCAAATTTCAGATTCCCAATTCTGAGTTATGAGTGTGTCACTAGCATTGGCCTGAGGTTATGACAGAAACTGTCAGCCCACACTTGAAGTAGGCAGAGAAGGACGAATCTCAGATTCTTCACGCCTGTAAATGAGGTGACATAATCAACACCTATGTGCTTCAACCGTTCAAGGCTGCCGGATCTGTCACTATTTTGGGAGAAGCGGCAACCAGGCTTCCCGGTTTCTGAAGCGTGAGATACACTGATGGGTAGGAAAGCGTCAACAGGTGCTCATAAGATTTGCCTGCTGCACCAGGTGTGAATGTCATCAGTCAGGACACAAACACATGGAATTCATTCAGAGATGAGACTGAGAAAGATGATAAAATATAGAATCTGTCTTTGCTGCATCACTGTATGTATATTTCAAACCTTCTAAACAAGAGATATGGACAATGAAATTAAACTGAAAGGCTGACAGCCCCTATATGATACAGTCAAACCAAAAATTATTCGGACTCCAAATGTCATTTTTGACATTTTTTTTACTAGTGGGTGCAGGACACTATAGTTCATTTATGTAAGTGAGGATAGAAAAATAAAATGAACTGTGACATATTATACCCAAAAATTCGTCATACAGTGGACTTCCAGTAAAACTGATAACAATTTGGGACCAAAAATTATTCAGACACTTTGACCTGACCGTGTTTTGCTGGCATGTTTCACCATTTTCTAAACAATAGCAAATAAACTGTGATAATGTGAAAAATGTTGAAGGTGTCTGAATACATTTTGCATTGACTGTACATATTTACATTTACATTTAGTCATTTAGCAGACGCTTTTACAAATGAGGACAATAGAAGCAATCAAAACTAACAAAAGAACAATAAAATGCAAGTGCTATGACAAGTCTCAGTTAGCCCAATGCAGTACATGTAGCAAAGTTATTTTTTCATTTTTAATGTTTTTTATATACACATATATATAACACACACACACACACACACACACACACACACACACACACACACACACACACACACACACCACACACATCTGTTACAAGGAAACACACACACACACACACACACACACAAATACAAATAAAACAAAAACAATTAAAACAAGTAGATAGAATAGAAAAATAATATAGAAAGCTAGTGTTAGAGTTTTTTTTTTATAGAAAACAAGCAGTTAGAAAATGAATAGAGTGCAAGTGATAGAGGGTCAAGTGTTTTTTTTTTTTAATAAAAAAAGAAAGAAAACAAATAGATAAAATAGAATTAGAATAGAGAGTGCTAGAGTTAAAGGGTCAAATAAAGATGGAAGAGATGTGTTTTAGCCGTTTCTTGAAGATGGTTAAGGACTCAGCTATTTGGCAAATAATAAAAATTATACAAATATTTGGCAATGAAAGTGATTCTGTAATTGTGATGAAAGCGTATAACCATTATTATTAGTATTATCTAAAGAACTGGTGGAAAATGTGAGGAGTTTCAGTGCTGAAATGTTTTGCGATCTCCACTGCAGAGATAATGCTGGTGTGGAGCTCTCCATGGTCCTGAACGCTGAGCACTGGATACACTGTCCCCGACCGTATGACTGTCGCTGTCTGTTGGTTCAGTGGATGACAGGGTCTACAGCGAGCTGTCACACTGGAGTGGCTCATCTCAGCATGGGCCTGTCTCATCAACATCCAGCGGCTCGGAGAGTACCTCTAGACACGCCATTGCACTGCAAAGCCAAGCTTGTACTAGAGACAGACAATTTGAGAGCTATTTCAGTCTAGTCTGAGGTCCGGCCAGTGTCAGGTCAGGCTTAAAGACAGCTATCATGCAGTAGATATCAAAGAAGAAAACATATGTTTGTCATGTCCTGTCATAAATTAGGATTTTAACAATATATATATATTCATTTTTCGCATTAAACTAGTGAACT